AATACTCCAATTTCGAGTTCTGGTTTGCTCTGTGTTAGCCTCAAAACCAAGTAACATATTCTTTTGTTTTATTGATAGCCTGTGAAAACGCATGGAATTTGAAAAGGAATACAATAGAATTGATATGAAATCTCACACTTTTATTCTCACAATTACGAATATTTTGCGCACAAATGAGGCTAACACAGAGCATTGGAGAATTCGAAACTGGATTATTGCAACTTGTCATACAACAACAACAACAAACAGGCAATGGAAAATGACAAACCATTAAACCTAAACTTGAAAATCAACAATGTTATACAACAAGTTGTGTTTGATTTTATATCCATATTTCTCTGCCTTTTAAAGAGGCTGTAGTGCAGTCTAGTGATGAGAAAGGTAAATGGGGTATCATCTATTAACTTATCCATTGTCTTTGTTGCTATTATAGAGTCATGTTGTTTAATTGAAGATTCTGTCCATACTGGGGAGTCTACACAACTTCCAATATATTTGAACAAAGGTTTGTAAACTTGTGGTACTATAAATCTAAAGCCGCACACGAAAGGAAAGTGTGTGAGGGAAATTAAGCCATGCAAGTCACTTTGAGCAGCGTGTCAAACTATTTTTGTTGTTCAAGGTGAGAAAAACGCTGATCAAAGCGCTCGTGTGGCATTTCGCTTAAGTACTTTCCTATCGTGTGCGTTGGGCATAAGAACTTTCCAATTTTCAAATTGAATGAAAAATGAAATAGTGTATAAAGAATGGATTTAAATTAATTGATTATCAATTTGAATGACAAAGAGGATGGCCGTGCAGAGATATGGGTGTCATCTTTGAGTGTTGATAAGAGAAGATAAAATCCATGTTTCTTTAGACCRTGTAATATTCTGTTTATCATGTAATCATCCGGAAAAAGCAATTTATGTTTAAAACTAAAGTAATCATTTTTATTTACCTCAGATGTATTAGCATCAGGTACCACAAATCAATGTTTCAGGTTTTCAAAAGTGATAAATATAGCTATTTTGTGGATAATTGCGTAATAACAAAGAGTAAGCCGTTATTACTTTTTTCCCAGTTATCCCATATTGGGACAAGCAAGTGGAAAAACTCAATAATAAGAAGGTCAATGGAAGTCCTTTGCTACTGATCATATCGTCTGCAGCAACAAGAGCAGTTGAATTAAACAAGTATGTCCAAGCACTGCATACCTCACTACTGTTAATCAAGTAGAATAGGCTGTTTGCATTATGACGTAACTTTACTACAACTACCAGAGAGCCTTGCGTAYTTTCATTGTTATTCAGATTTTCAATCCCCTTGCAGATTAATAAAACAATTGGCACTAATTGCATTACAAAAGAAAGTTGGCAAAGCATTCTGGTAGTTGTGGTAAATGACGCCATAATGCATATCGCCTATTAGGCCTACAAATGGAGACATCAGTGTTTCTTGTATCATTCATTATCTAATTCCATGTACTTTCTCTTTATTTTGCACATTTTCTTTTTTCTTTTCATACATTAAATTTAGACTTTGTTGGACTTTGTTGAAATCACAATTTTTATTTTTTATTACCACAGATCAATAGACAAATTCAAAGCAGATGGAAAAGTTGTAAAATTATTCGCAAAGCATTTCAAGGTACTTAATAATAATTAWAATGATAATAACTTTATTTTATGGGGGTACMACTAAATAGTGTACAACACTAGTTAACTTGTGTCCCTCATATATCATACTGGTGTTCATTGTCAGTGGAAACTGTTGGCTTAATGAAAGAAATTATTATACATGTACCTTTTAATGTTTTTTTTTTCTACACATTAAAGGTGGAAGACCAAACAAAGTTTCTTGCTTCMCATTTAGTTCATATTGGCATTGGAACGCCAAATCGTGTYCTAAAACTTCTACAAAATGGTGGGTAATGGTAGCTAATATAAACGATGGTTTAATGAAAGAGAAACATCTGAAAGTTTGGAATTTGTTTGAAATATCAACTGATTATTCTTTTATTGTTTTAGAATCACTTGAAACTAGCAAACTAAAGTATGTTGTGGTGGACTGGACGTGGAGAGATCAAAAGCTTAGAAGCATTGCAGATATGCCAGAGGTAGAGAAAAAAAATTCACTGATTCAAGCTGGCTTGCAGTAAATTTTGATTTTACAAAATTTAAGAATTGTTATTTGACTGTTTGAGTTACTTTTTTAACCAATAATTATGAGGTTCAAATGCTTTTAAAGATATCAAGTTTTGCATGATCAGAGAAACGTTTTTAACATTTTTTGGTAAAACATCTCTTGGTCAAATAAAAGGGGAAAGGGGAAAGGCATGGTGTTTGTTACTAAATATAGATTTGTTTTTTTGTTATTCTTTAGGTAAAAGATGACTTCTACCATCTACTGCAAAATTATATATTTCCTTTGGCGAAGTGTGAGAAAATAAAAATAGGACTGTTTTAGCGTATCTAGTGTTATTATGATTAATAACTGTTGAAGAGCAGAAAAAAATGTACAATTTTTTAATTTATTACAAAATTTGTACTGTTTACCAGTATTTATCTCCCGTTATGAACTGAAAAAAATATAAATACGTGGATTAACGTAGTACTACGTACGGAATCTAAAAGAAGAAGAGAGAGACTCTACAAAAACGCATCAGTGTGTACAAAACCTAACGTATTAGTTTATCATGCATACGAAAACGTATTAACGCAAGCTAAGGGACAAAAGAAGTACAGTACCTTACGTAAACGAATAGGCATGAGTGCATGGGACCCCACAAAGCAATGATCTAAAAGCGCTATGAAAACGCATTAGTTTACGGTAGTAAAATGAATCAGTTACGGAAACGCATGTTCACTTTAACGTTTATGCCTACTGAAAACTGGTATAATATGGGCCCTTCGACCTCAAATAAAGATTTAGAAGTGAACACGTAAGCACTTGAGAATAAATACGTGATGATATGTTATAATACCAAAAGAAATCCTTCTTACGGCAGCTTTTGAGCTCTAGTTGACCTTGCACTCGGAGCTTCATTTTTCCAATGGAAGACGACGCGGCGACACCAAAAAATGCAAAAGATGTGTACAACTGATATTGATTAAGCCAAATGATCGATTTCGAGGACTCATTTTATTTATTTATTATTAGATATATTTTGTGGATTTATTTATTTATAATTCGGAATATTCGTTTTATAATGTATATATTATTTTTTTAATTTTCTTGCGAGCCTTCCCTTTCACTGTAAAATTTGAATGCAACCACTTAAACCACGAAAAACTCCCAAATTGTATTGACTATGTCAATTCCTTTGTTTCTAAAGTGTAGTCAAAAAACCCGTGAAATAGGTATTACACTAATACACCTTACTACGCTATAATTACACTGTTTGTTTTTTTGTTTGTTTGTTTGTTTCTATTTGCTTGACTTCTTTCAGTAAAGCGTGAAACAATAGTTCTAGATGAACAAAAGTAAACAAAAGAATTTCACAAAATAGTATTACTAATGTTTCACGCTTTTTATTAATGCACTCTATAACACTTTTGAAATAGTAAAACTTTGTTTCATGGGTGCTGGACATAACTTCATTGAATAATCTGCATTTTAGCAATATTTGGTTAATGCTTCTAAACGATTCTTGWAGTGTTTGTACTCTAGTTTGCGGCACATTTGAACTTTTGATTCATGTTTACTGAAGTGGAATTATTATCATTTCGAAACCACATACTTGACCTTCAGTCAGGGTGGGTGAAATCAAAGTCACACGTTTCAATATTATTAAAATGTTGTCCTAACTTGTAGAAAAAAACAGTTATTCAACTAAAAAAACCTCGGAAATACAACCTTACGTAATCGTTTCTACAGCACAAAAGTTTGAAGAGCGAGGTTTAGTTTGTGAGAGCACAATCGCAAGGTTAAGTTAAAGCAGCTTCAAGTTTCACTGTAGCGCGCTTCCCCCTTCTAATATTGCATGGGTATACTAAGAATTTGTTATCAAGCGCCTTTACGAGTAGATGAAGCAATACACTTTTGCTTCAAGAGGATAACATTATGGACGAGAACAAGATAACTCCAGCTCAACTATGGACAAACTACACAACGTATAACTGCAGAAAGTGGCTTGGCTTCTGGACCAAATGGAATCCTCATACTGGCGAAGTTTTGGATAGTTTCGACAGCATTCGACACATCCAGTTGATCGATGATTCGAGAATGAAACATCAGAACACTTTTATCTACAAAGATGGCAGTAGTAAGAATACGGGACCGATGAATGGCCCGTGGGAGTACCTGAAAGACCGGGATTGCGATGAACATGGAATGATTCACCCTTCATCACGAAAAATCGGCAACGACGCGAGAGCATTTTTCGTTCAGAACGGAGGAGGAACATGGACGATCATGCGAGTAAAAGAAAAGAAAATCTTCTTTTTCGAACTGTTCTTTCCAGATCATTTCAAGAGGTTTAGCAATGGGGTKCAATACGATGCTGAGGGCAATGCGGCGCGATTGACACTGATACGTGAAGACAACCGGTCAAGGCCAAGTCTGTATTGGTCCAAGGAAATTGACTTTAGAAAGGATTTCGACACGAAAGGAGAATTCTACGGCACGGAAATTACTCTTTCTGCAAATCTAATACAGTTAACAAAAACAAATTGTCATTGGAATCGAGAGTATTGGGAAAAACAGCACCGAAGTGATGCCAATAAGTCTGTCGTCTATCTACCTGATAAAGTAATGACGTCATTTCCTGCTCGGGTTCACCCCAGCCTTTCTTTCCACGTGAAAGTGTTTTGTCATTACACTGAGGGAGATCAGAACGAGGTTAGGGAAGAAACCATTTATTTTGAAAATGGGGCATTTTCTCATTTCAAGCAAGGAATTTACTTTCCTGTCGATAAGAAGAGTTAGGTAAACTGGAAAAAATGGTTGAAAACATGCTTAATACTAATTACTACAGTGAACTCCAAAAACCGTGAAATAGATGTTACGCTAATACACCTTAGCACGCTCTAATTTTGTTTCCCTTTGTGTCTATTTGAATATCACACTTAAATAGTCAAGTTTTTATTTCACGGGTTTAATGACGTCACTCTACGAAATAGTGTTGATTAGACAATAGCAAACAAGGGAATTAGAATAATTTAGTTTGCACTATTTAAGTTTCACGGTTGGAGTGCGTCGGCTCTACTATCTGTATTAAGCATACATGCACAGGCAACCCATCACGATGATGGGTGAAATGAAAAGTCAAATTATAGCATAAGAAATGAAATGACTGGGCTGGTTAAGCTCTGAGTGTCTAGAATCAGTGTCTTGTTGAATGAAATAGTATTGCTTTGAATTCGTCTTTCGTAAATTTCGCATATTTCAATGCATTTCAATTCATATTACTAACGACTCGTTAGTTGAATAATATAAAGTACTTTTTGGCAATTCACTGTAAAAATACAATTGCATACGATATATAATCAAAGAAAACGTGTTTCTTGTTGTTTTTGAAGGAAAAACAAAAATAGTGATGTGTGAGTTTTTTTTATCTCGTGAAAATCAAACCGTTTTAAATTTGCTAAATATTTTAAACTTTTCCGGTTCACGTTTCGTGAATTTACTTTTATCTTAAGTATAGTTTTTTTAGGAAGTAAAAGTTTCGTTTTCGCGCYYTTTTGACATATTGGCGCGCGGCCGCGAGTTCCTAATTTTCCCGCGCAAATCTTGTTTGTCGCTATGACGATCAACTTCCCAAACACCCATRAAGAWAGACGCAGACTWCGAAAGCTTAAACTAAAATCAGGATCAGATAAAAAGGGTTATGGGATCAATCATTAGGAAGCTTTAACATATATGTATCGCTTGTATAACAATATATYAGCAAAGACAACAAACTGTAATCATCTATTGTGACATTACAAACTGTTATTCATCACATTTCACCGCCATTTTGCCGGCGGAACTCAAAATATATGAACGGCAAACTATCAACAGATTGTTACCCCGTGTTTACTGTAAATAGCGTGATTTATTGGTTGTTTGACAGAATAAAATGACAGAAAACTTATTGGATTTTCTTTTGGATGTGGTATAATTGCCAATATGTGGCTTTCTTGTCTTTCTTGTTCGCTGTATAAATAGGCTATTATTGTAAACTGTTATGACTTTGAAAAAAATGCGTAAAATGGCCGTTTGTGTTTTGAAAATAAATGTTTAAAGATGCAGAAAACAGGAAAAGCCTTAAGCATTATTAAATGATGTGTTTTGGGGCATTTTACATTGGTTTTCGACAGTGGAATGGATAAAGTTATTTTAAATACATAAGGCATACATTTTTATCAAAGCCAATAAAAATCTGTAGAGATGTCTATTCTCAAGGGAATGTTAGTTTTAACTAAAAGACAGCATTGAATTTGACAGTAACAACCGATTCGAAACAGCAGTATGTAATGATCTATAAATATATAGCAGAAGAGAAAGTTTATGGCGTAGTCTTAAGAAGATAACAATACTTATGAAGACATGCATTTTGTTTTTAATCCTTATTATATTATATTTTATAAGGCGCATTGGTTGGCTGAAATGAGAAAAAAACCGTGTGACTTCCAAGCAAATACTGTTAGAAGGGTTGAAAGCTTTCAGCTCATGATTTATTGTTTTTTCGTGTTCTCTCTATTTTAGTGTAACAGAAAATAAGCACACGAGAAATATCTTCTAATGTTTTTAAAAATAAACATAAGAAAAAGAAAACTGCTTTGGAGATGACTAAAAAAAGAGCTTACTGATGTTAAAAAATAATTGCAATTATATTTTTTTCACTAATTTTACGTCGCAAGACATATGGAAAGGTACAAACGGCTAAAGAAATAATTAGAAATGAAAAAAAGTGATAAACAAAGGGAAATCATCRAAAATTAAACAAAATCTCGGAAGGACTAATTGAAAAGTTTTGATGAAAATCATTTTCCTCGCCGTTTCAAGAACCGGAAAAGTTCTAATTTCCAACACCCCCTATAAAGACATCCCAGTGATAAACAGAATGTACTGTTTGAGTTTCTTGTTAACTCAATCAGCGAGAAATTCGACTATCATTTTAATTGATCCAAAAAGTGACATTTTTGAAATTTAGTTAATTGAATTATATTACAACGAATTGCTCATTTGTACGACTTGTAAAAATAGTTCTGTCTGGGTTAAAAAGACACGCTTTAGCTTGATATAAAGCTTTGAAGAAAGCTATAAAAATATCAAGGAAAGGGGAAAAATTTGGGCTCTTTTTCAAGCTGAAAGCACGAACGAAGAATCAAGAAAGACAACAAACGCCGCGCTGGATTCACAAAGGAACACACAAATACACGTCCTTATTCAAACAAACCTTGCTCTTTATTACAAACCCCTTTCACCTAACCGACATACTAAATTGGAACTCAACGCATTTTTGTCCATTTCATTTACCAATAACAAGGGAATATTTACTCTTCTTTCGATAAACGGTCCATGTAGGAAATTGAAAATATCTTTTATTGCCCGACACAGACTGGCTTACCTACAGGTAAAATTATAACCCGTCTGCCTGTAAATGACAGGAAAAGATATTTAGGCAATTTACCCGGTGTTATTGTCAGTGAGATGATTAGGAACTTAGCCAATTAAAATCAATGTGAATAGAGTCGTGGATCGTGGATATCAATGCACGCGATGTCCGCGCGCGCTGTCTTCAGATAWTATAAATTGAAGGTTTTACAGACGCTGTTTTCGCAATTTTTTTTCGGAATATTGTTAATTTTCTCTATTTAATGSTCTAGCGTTTCAATCTTTATTTTTTGTATGCGTAGGAACATTTTAGATTTTTACTCCGACGAAGGATTAATGTCCGAAACGTCAGTAAGTTGTTCCACCTATTTTTTACAGTGTTAAATTCGTCTTTTTACTCAACTGTTTTTTTTTTGGAAACACCGACGCAGCTCACACTATTCAACGTCTAGTTTCCACCATTTATAAGATCATAATGTTAAACTAACACGATTTATCTTGTCTTMAAACTGATTTAGATCTCAAAACAACATTTTTTTCATTTATTGCCGAATCTTTTTCTACGTCGTTGAAAATGATTTTCAAATTTTTGAATTTTACTTTGGGACAGCGTTTGCCGCGCAGTCTTATCCCATGAAAATCACTTTTTTCGCGCGTTTATGAGTTTTATTGGGCTTTATTGACTGGTGTAGGTAGTTAATTTACGACATCATTCATCGATGCCGTTACTCATCCCATAATCTCTTAAAGTCCCGAGATCCTTTGCGCGCCTTTCTCACATACGAAAATTCGCTATCTTTGATTTTGAACCAATAAGAAAGCAGCTGCCAAAAAGAGATTATTTGTAAAACAAAACAAACGATATCAAAGGCTCTTGAATGTACGACGATTCAGTGAATCGATACTGAAAATAATTATTGTCAGTATTCAAAGATGTCGGGTATATTGTTAATAAGTCTGTTTATTTTACGACAAAATTAACCGTAACGCATGCGCAGTAAGCAAGCGTATTATCACTATGGGCTCAAGATTATTACTATTTTTGGTGCAACCACGTGACCTGCAAAAATTTTCTCATAAATAAACAACAAAGGCTATCGCCGCCATGTTGGATGAATGAACAAGAGAAACTAATGAGGAATGCTTTGCGGTCTTCATCCAACATGGCGGCGATGACGTAACTTGCACGCCAAGAATAATGATATCATTGTTCGCGCACGTGCGGAGCTGACCAATCAGCGCTTAGATCACTATGTACATATTTGCTTAACATTTTAGCGTTACACCGATACACCTTTCATGAACAATGGTTTTTAAAGAATTACGAGAGATAGAAAGGCTTTTAAAGAAAAACTTATRCGTACAGCTGTATTTATTGAAAGCCATAGATTCTACGTTTTTCTGAATTCTACWGTGAAATGGGATGGAATYTGTTTGACTTCAAACAATGAAAAATGGATTGTAAATTAAGCGTCGAATGTGATTTGAAACTTTCAAGTAGGGGACTGGATCTGTCCTATGGCAATCAAAACGTCTATACCAGAAAAAAAAACTTTATGTTCCAATATATGTAGCCAACCTTTGCAACGCTCGAGAAAGTCAATTTAGCTTTTGAAGTGTGTTCGCATGCAAAAATGGCTGGTTTTGGATTCCAGGAATTAAAACTCATTTTATTTTGCTACTACTCATGCTAGATCAATAAAGTTTTATCGCAAGCGCACAGCAGTATTGTAATCAAATAAAAATTATATCAAGTAAGCGTGGATGACGAGCGAGATTGAATTTTGTCTTCAATGAAAGAATAGCGCTCGAGTGGAATTGCTCAAAGGGAAGGACTGGCGCTCTTTAGTAACTGAATTGCTGCTAGAATCAAGAATTTAACCCAGTTAAACAAAAAATGWACGTTACGCGAGCATTAGTTTATAAACGTGGATGACGCAAAGTTAGTTTACGTAATCTTAATCGCTATTTCGTGACATAATCTAAGATCTTACCACTAACTAAATGGCGTTTACGTAGATGACGCGAAAAATGGAACTGATTTAACGATCTGAGCTAASTAAAATTAACGTCTACTATGGAAAGGATTGACTAGTATAATTCATAAAACACTTACGGTTCACAAAATAGATTGAAGGTTTAACATGTATTTCATTTACGTACCCGTACTTACCCGTATCTATGATATACGTACACGTATCAGATTTACGTACACTTCGCACAATAACTAATTTGATGATTAAAAATGTATCTAACTCTCAATGTAACTAGTTTATACTTAGTGTACAGATACAAATTGTCTTAAATCAACGCGCGTAATGCGCCCACGAGATGCGTGACACGCGAGTTGCGTGGCGGACACTACTGTTTCAATTTGTATCAAGATTGAATAGCGCGCGTGAATCAAGTTTGACAAGTCTGTCATGAGAACTCTTAAGTTACCCGATGATCAGGAAATGAGTGTCATTGGAACTGTTAATCCCGCAGATCCTGTAATATGATTTGTTTGTCTTTGTGTAAAGTAAGGTGCGGGCGATGTTTTCTCAAATAAGGCGAGTACCCTCCAGGCAGGTGGAAGCCAGGGATTGTTCACTCAAGTTTTTGTGATGCTTGTGTTTATCTAAACTTATCAAGAAGCCCTCAAAGATCACAGGTACAGTGTAACTCACGGGTAAAGGAACCAGGTACAAGGATAAGACTGAATCAGGTAAGGCTTATCTGGGAAAAGAAAGGTCAAAAGATAAGATTTTATAGGGATAAGTTCAACTTTTGTTGGAAAAAAAGAAATGAAATTGACATGAGAACATTTAGAAGAGTTGATCGAAGAGAAAAACTTGTTCGAAAGTATGTTGTTTGTGATTACTTTTCAAGCAAAAGCGATCTTTTTTTAGAAAAAGAAGAAATACAATTCACATTCTAGAAATAGGAACGAGTGGGTATAAAGAGAAGACTTGATCAAAAGGAAGACTTGATCAAAAGGAAGACTTGATCAAAAGGAAGACTTGATCAAGAAGACGACTGAGTTAAACACAAATTATGCTGTTTTTCAGTTTATGGGAAGTTTATAACAATTTGATTCCAAAAAGAAAGATCTAATTAAATTAAGAATCAAGGATAAGGAAAGATCTTAGAAAGCAACAATTAATCTAAGAAATATCAATGTCACATGTACATACTGGACCCGAACAGAACAACAGAAAAGAAAAGTGCGCTTCGTCGAACGAGGATAATGAAGGGTATATTAGTATGCAATTTCCAAACTGTGGTCAATAAAAAAGTTCGTACAATGAACATTTGTGAGAAAAAAATAGTAGTGAAATCAACATTTAATTTCGAATCTTGAGGATGGAAAGAACACTTGATCAAAGTTTATACTTTTTTTTGGAATGCTTGAATTAAAGGCATGCAAGCAAAAGAGAGTAGGGTAAAGACAAGTCGTGATAAAGGATCCATAAAAAGGATTTTTCTTTGCTAATGAACGAGACGTGGAATGGACACGAGCGTGAGAAGAACACTTGATCAAAAGTTACTGTAGTAAATTTGAATTAGCCATGCAAAATAACNATGCCGGGTTTGTCGGAAAATGTTAGAGAAATACTTCAATCTTTCACCGATAAATCCTTCTCGGCTACAGATCTACACTACACATCGACACCTCGACATTTCAGCACTTATTTGACTGCTTATATAAAACAAAAATCCATCCATTTAGTACCTACAGCCTTCATGCAACAAAAGCAAATGTTTCTCTCTATTAACGGATTTGCGCAGATTAAAGTCAAACGCGCACAATTCGGCGCGAAGGGTTGAGACAAGCTGGTAGCTTTAGACAAGAAGAGAAGAGCTAGAGGAAAACGTTGTCTCCCGGARTAGAATAGAAATTGTGATTAAAAAAATAAGACGCACTTGATGCCACTGAAACTGAGATTAGTCAATATACATCCTAAGCTATTGTGTCCATACGGCATGGAAGAGACAGAAGGCTGCAATTGATCTGWGGACAAAAAGGCCGAGACTAATGAAGTACAYTTTTGTTCCTTCCATYTTCYTTCTCTCACCCCAAAGAATTGCTGTTAGCACTCGAAGAGAATCCCTGAAACACAACGTTYAGTGAGAGGGTCCGGGGGAGGCAAGACAATAACAAACTTCYACGTARACTTTACAATATTCATGAAAAACTACCCTTTTTGTGCACGATCGTATAGAGCACAAGAAATATGAAAATGTGACCCCCCTGAATGAGCCAAACCCAAGATTGCAGCCCTCCCCCCAACAGTCATTAACGAACGCCCCCTAGAACAACTTAATGTAACTTAATCGAGAGTTTATCGAGCATCAAGTGTAATTTCGCGCCATTTTGCACGGTTCGCATTACCGTCAAATATGCCGGAATTTGGCGGCTTTGTTGAGGTGGAAGTTTGACTATACAAGTTGGCATACAATCAAAAGGACTAAAAAGGAGTGTTGAAGACTTGAATAGGAGACTCTTGAAGCTCTGGTTACCGGATTTATTCTTGACAAAAGAGTTGATGGAATACACGGAGTAATATTTGATTAATATAGGAACGCTTTTGTTCCGARAGAAATTATAGTTGTGAATCGAATTGCAAAATGAACATTGATCTTTCATCTTTTCATCTTTTTCTTCTTATCTTTTCCTTTTCCTTTTGAACTCTTTTACCTAGTTTTCTGCTCTATGATTTCTTTCCACTTTTGTTTTTAAAATTCTTTAAGTTATTTTTCATTTTTTTCACTCAGTCTTAAAGTCTAGAGTTGAATGTCACAGTATTAAAACTTTATTTTCGAATTTAACATTTATTCTTTTGAATAAAACCGGCTTTTATTTCTGTTTCTTTTCTTTTTCTTATTTTTTCTGCAAKTAGTCTGTTTTCCTTTTTTCGTGTGATTTCCTTTGTAATTTTCGCTAAAYTTTACCTGTCTGCGCGTAATTGTATAAAAAAATAATTCTTTTGTTTAAAGATTTCTCTATATATACACCTGCATTTGAAGTTGTATAGTCATTCGAATTTCAGGAAAATTATACGCACTAAAATGTTTACTAACAAGATAGATACACAATGCGTTGCAATTTTGACTGAAAATAGTTTAGTTTTTGTAGACAATTTCTTTCAACCTGTATCTGAAGTTATTATGATTTAAATGTCGTGAAAATTATACACACTACAATCCAATATTGAACAATTGCAAAATAAAATTCACTTTAATTTGTGTACCTGTTTTCCTTTTGTTCAAAATAACTCCATTTCTTGTAAATTTTTCACTATTTACTGACAATTACGTTACAGTCTTGTGATCATTTCTGTCAAATGTACTCATAATATCAAACCACAAACAGAAACCACTTTACTAGACTTAGTTCAGCTTGTACAAGTAATCTAGTACTGTCGAAACAGTCCAAACTGGCCTTAGAATAAATAACCCTGGTACAATGCCCGCACTTAGGTACTTGAGTTTAMAACGGTGACCAACAGCTGAAACTACAGCGGYGTTAAAAGCTTGTTAGAAGCCTTTTAAAGTATCTTTTTTCGATGTTTGGATAGAGTTTTTGGGATTAAACTTTAAATGAAACAACTTTGTAAGCAGCACAAATGCTACAAATAGTTAACAAGAATAYTTTATACAAATTTCGATGTAAAATTGGCATTAAAGCGTAGTGTACACATCGTTGTGCGATTCGCTAAAAACAAACGCGCGCTTTTGAATGCGTTGTTGTAGTTTCCACAAGTTCAAAAAGATTTTTTGATTCTGGGCAACTATATGGAAATTAGACCTAAATTTGTACACTATTGGATTTCCCCATAGCTCGAAAAAAAAACAATTTTTTAAGGACGTATTGAAAAGTTGTCACGAAGTTTCTCCCATCCATGACAAATTTTTTTTAGCCAAGTTTAAAAAAATTGCAAAAATCCCCCCTCCCCCCTCCCCCTCACAATGATATATTCCTCTGATTCAATCATAATTTGCTTTCAGATCAGAGGGTGGATTTCAAACTTCAAAATGTTTATGATTCGTTCATCTCAACTMCAGTCCGTTCAGAAGTATTCTGGGGTCTTTTCTACTGGTTACATCCCGTCCCAGTTGGTATTTGGTCCCTATGACGGCCCTCTTAATATGGCTTTAAAGACGCGTGACGACAAACACCTTGATTATATATTAGAGGTATGTGAACCCCTCATTATCGGCACCTCCTCACTACATCGACCTCACATCGACCACATCATTTTACAGTACAACCATAAAGGTTGTCAGAGAGAACGGCGAATGCACGACCGAAAGTTGTTATGGGTATTCATTAGAGTGTCTCAATGGGGGGTCCGCATCACACTAACGGCTAAAAATTTGGCTTTTTCACGCCTCACGGCTAATTTTTTCTCATTTTCACGACCAATTTTTCAGCCGTTTCACGGCTCACGGTAACCCCATTGAGACCTTCTTATTAATGATGGCCAATATTCATCACAGGCCTCGATACTGTTGTTGCTATTCAATATATTTACCATATAATTATCTATCAAATACCTATATTTCTCCATTACGTTAATGTGTTTTCACAAGTGAAAATATCTCTATATATTGGAGGTAAATAAAAGTTATTTAAAACATTATTTGCTTTAACTGATAATTATATGATAAACAGAAAATTACAAAATCGCTTGGATATACGAATTTTATTTGTGTTACAAATCTCTTTAATCTTTTCAACACTCGGACATAAAATCCGTATCTCCGCGCGCCCATGTAACATCCTCTATATCTGTAAAAATCGTTTGGTTTTTTGTTCGTGTTGATTGATTGATATATTGATTTGATTAATTAATTAATTAAATATTGATTGCCAATATTCGGAATATTTCTCAAAGGTTACTTACAAGAATGGAGAGTTGGTTTGGGTGACYGACCGTCAGCTGTCCTGGGTTCCATTCATGAGGTTTGCACGCACGGACAGAGAGCAAAACATCGAGTTGTTCTGGTATGAGGGAAGCTTCTTCTTCAGGACCACCAGGGGRGTAGTGAAGGGMGATGAATTGGTCGTTTGGCCATCGTCAAGAATGAGCAAACGTATTGGTGTTTCTGRAGTGAAAATTCAYCAAATYAAAATAAACGGTGAGAGTTGCTTAATTCAGACGATAAAAGACCTTATTATATATATGCCATTTTGAATTATTAAGGGTGTGCAAGGGAAAGAGCCCACATTAATGTTGTGTGAATTGTTAGCGAAAAACTTACTTTCTTCTGATAGTTTCCGTGCTTCAAAATTTTTATTAATATTTGAAAATATCCACGTGTGGTTTTCGATATTTTCCACATTTTATGAATACAGCATGGCATATACGGAAATTGATAGAATTCAAGATGGCGGACGTRGACATAAGGTCTATTAWTAGGCGATATGCATTATGGCGTCATTTACTACAACTACCAGAATGCTTTGCMAACTTTCTTTTCTAATGCAATTAGTGCCAATTGTTTTGTTAATCTCCAAGGGGATTAAAATTCTGAATAACAATGAAAATRCGCAAKGCTCTCTGGTAGYTGTAGTAAAGTTACGTCATAATGCAAACGGCCTATTTAAGGATTTTCTCGTGATTGACTGGTTTTTGAAAGTTTCCATCGCCATTTTGAAAGACAACCACGCCCAATTGAATCAAAGCAGTTGAGATCGCAATGATCGATACTTGATAATGTCCTACGTGTAAAAAAAACTAAAATGCTAAGGCACCACTACATTTCAAGGTGTTAAAGCGTGGATTTCACTAGCGCATAAGCATAGGCATAAGCACGAAGCATGAGAGTCATATGCGCCAGTGAGAACGGGCTCAAAATAAGCATAAGCATGAGCACAAGAACAACCAGCAAGGCTTGATCTTCTTGTGCTTATCTCATGCTTATCTCATGCTTATGCTCAGTGAGAACGGGACTGCATAGGCATAAGCATAGCCTGGTACCGAAAWAATACTCCCGTGCGCATGCTCAATGTCTTATGCTTATGTCGAGCCCGTTCTCACTGGTGCATATGTAAGTGATTCTCATGATTGCTTATGCTATGCTTATGCGCTAGTGAAATCCACGCTTAAGAGTTTTTGGATACCTGTGGACAGTGTACAGTACTTCTCGGTCAAATAAGCCACAGGACACCCATAAGAAACAGGTGCCTTGATTTAATACAAGGCATGTTGTCATGACTTCTTTGATAATTCTCTTAATTTAATGGATCCGAAAAAAAAATTCTACGTACGTTTTCCTTACGTAAAAAAATGTGCTTACACTGGAGTTTTAAAACCAGATACAGTTTGTTTACATTTATCGCTACGTCTTTTCAAGCGTTTCAAACTTTGACTTCCTTACGTGTACGTGGGCGGGACGTTACGGACTCCTGCGGGTTTCACGTCCTTGCGTGATAAACCCTGCTGTTATCATCGTAAAATTACCTGCAAATAGCTCGATCAGGGGTCCAAGATACCGACTTTGTGATACTGTTTTATTTTAAAGATAAAGAAACATCATTGTACAATTGCAACTGGCTGTAAATGACACTGTTTGTTCGACTGAATTTACGAGAGAAAAATCCAAATGTAGCCAATGAGCCAATAAGCCTTAAAAACACTAATGTCTTGTCCTAAGAACTAYCCTAAAGRAAGAAATGTAAGAATGTCCCCCTTTTCATGGAGAATTGGCATGAGGTTATTCGTATCTAATGATCCATCTGTTAGTATTAATTAACACGCTATATAATTTACTGTCATAACTAACTCATTAGATCCAACAAAAGTCGTTACTGAACCACTGTCTATGAGTGAAATACTTCGATTAGAATGCGAATCAGCTTACTATGCACTATTTAAATTATAGCGTTTCATATATAAGATTAAATAATGTGTCGCCCCATGTAAGAGAATCCGGAATCCAGCACTTGAAATCCGGAATCCTCTAGTTCTTTGGATTTTCGGCTTACATGCGGCAAAATGTGAAGAACAAATAACGAGTAAGATAATGTAGATGACATATTATTGTTCGTAGTGGCTAAATGAGCGGAAGATTTCGAATTGACGGCTACCTAAGTGAATAGTGCCATTATTTTACATGTGTTGTTATTACTATTGCTGTTTTATTTATTTATTTATTTTTCCTTTTTACTATACAAACAAACAAGAAATCAAAATATGGTCAACTGAATAGAAGGTTAAGTGAAAGAATGGAGTCTATTTTCAACATTTAGAACAATTTGGTAGCCACGTAGATACCAATGTCATCCAATGATGTTGCTTTTCTGTTGTCTACATCGATAAAGAAAAAACAACAACATGAAAATAGTACGAAAACGAATGTGGACGAGTTTTTGCCTGGCTAAAGAAACGCATCTGTGGGCAAGGCCTACTTGTGGCGGTTAGAAACTATTGGCATATGAAGGACACTGAAGGAGTAGAGTTTCTTTGAATCGAAAATGKAAGAAACTTTTTTTTTTATTCTAAGTGAAGTAATGGCCATGCTTCGGTCATATGTCGAGTAAGATTCGTGTTTTGAGAGTTTATTAATCTTCTTAAATCTCAAGGAATACTGTATGTCGCAAATATCTATATGGTTTACTTTACCGGCTTTCTGGTAAAAACCCTCACATTGCAATTATATTAATTCATATACAATAAAATCGAGAATTTTTGCGCAGGATAAGAATCATGACTCGTAGCACAATTACCGGCACTTGTAACATTTCKGACAAGCWTCATTACACAGGGTGCATTATGGGTAATCAAGTGATTTTCACTCGCTAAAAGAGTTCACAAATCATTTAAATGCTTTAAAATATGTTTATCAAAGCTTGTTAAAGCATTATCTTCAGTTWTATGACGAACTAAAGTTTAAATTTRAAAWATCAKCTATCGTTTGTATWGATATGTTTATCTTYAAGTTAGCGGCTTATATTCTTCAATTAACGATATTCTCACAATATAGAACATGAGGAATAGAACTTATTCAATGGTAATTTAACACATGGAGGACAAAATAAAATGGACCTTTAATTCTTTAAGCCTATATAATCGAGTAAGCTTTGCTGGAATTGTTTGGYACACGGAGCAACAGGTCAAGCTGTGTTGGATGATAATGTACCACCGACTTTTAATGAAAGCCCATGTCAGGTGTCATGGCCTTGATCGTGGGAAAAACCTTAAAACAYCAAGAAAATTGGATGTGCTAATTTGGGATTTCTTCATTTAGACAAAGTCCTATTCAACAACTTGGTTTTTGAAACGTTTTTACAATAACCATGGTCTTGTGGTTGTCCCAAGAAAGCCAACTTATGGGACAAGTGCAGGAATTCTTTTATGCAAAGTGTCATCTAKCACACAAGTTCTTTAATTAAAGCATTTAAACCGTAAGTTGTTTTTTTTTTAGATGTTAATTAGAAATTAACGGATACAAAGGCAATTTTTATAAGATAAAMGATATATATCAATGTAAACTCCACAAGTTAAATTTTGATTTCTCTTAGACAYAAAAATAAAATCAAAATAGCGACTCCTAAAGTGATTTTAGTAAAAGCGTGAAACACTAATTACTAAATTCTATAAAATAATTATATAGTGCTAGCTGAACAATGTTACAAACAAGGATTACTGCCGATATTTCACAGGCGCTTTCCTAAACTGCACTCTATAGTCAGATGTCTAATTTTTCCAATGTATTTAATGATTCGAAGTAGAAACATTTCTTTTGGGTTAGTATATAGAGGATATTACATGGGCGCGCGAAGATACAAAATTAAACAACTCCATGAATTTAGTCGAAAGGAGTTTCAATCGAATCTCGCATTTAATGGTGACGAGTAATCTACTCGAGTGAATCAAGCCTGGTTTAGTAGTTTGGTATTAATCTTATCAATACTTTCGAACAAACATTTAACATTCACCGTTTAATATTCGGATCACTATCAACGTTTTAGCCTGCGATACTGCCAGTCTGCGGTTGCCGCACACAATAAAGCAATATATTGTTTAAAGTCTAAGTGAAACTCATACCTATAGTAACAGTTAATTTCGATATTATTAGCGATGTACAAACATTTGCTGCGGACTTTTCGTTTCACTAGGGACATGGAAGCATTATAATTCTTCTAAACTTGTTGGAGGGCATATGAATTTCAATAGTATATTAACGTAGGTCCACTACGGATAAGAAACGTAACATTGCAAAATTCTTACGCAAAGACACAAAAAAAACCTCCAAATATACAACTTTAGCGCAGAAAATATCAAAATACAATCAACCCTYGTTATAACGGACATCATAATTAAGTGACGGTAATAGCGACAGTCTGATATGAAGAATCTCAGTAATTTCTTGGAGCTAAGTGTTCGTAATAACGAGGTGTTCGTAAAATCGAGGGTTTGCTAGATCTATTTAAATCGTATCTGTTTATGGACTTTGTACATCGGTTTTACAAGTGAACTTTGCCGCCTCAGTTCAATAATGATCTTGAAGTCACTTTWAGTACCAGGGCCTTCGTTGCTAGGCTGTGTCTGCCATCGGCTTCGCTATGCAGCCATTGTAAGTGGAATAATATAAAGGCTTATATAGGCCAGTTGCTGTGCAAAATACATTATTGTTAATCTCGAAACATGTGGTGTGATTATGTAATCATTTTGATCATTTGCAAACAAAAGAGTATTTCTTCTATAGCTGAATTGTGCCATTGTGAATGTACAWGATTATCGTACTGATCTAGGAAGACTTTAAGGGCAACATTTTACACTTTATTGCATGTTTTCTAATTCAACTTTTGACACGGTTAAAAGAATATCTTTTTTATATKTTACACAATTGTCGAGTGATTTTAAAAGTTTTTAAGTACAATTTTTAAATTTTTCAATCATTTTTTAACAGGAATTACAAATGATGTGTCATACTTTTTGAGTTAATAAAGAACTTGGATTCTCTTCAAGCAGACTTCGATACTGAATATGACAAAAAACACATTACAAAAAACTGAATAGCTTCAAAAATATCATATATTCTTTACAAAGAGTCGATGACTTTACTTAATCTATAAATCAAAAGTCGTAAAAAAAGGTTCAACAAGTCATAATAAAAACAAAAATAACAAAGTTCTTGATGCTTTCGCCTAAAAACGCCGCTTCGAGACGTAATAAAATTCGTCAGTCTG